TGCAGAAGAGGGTGTTTTAGGGACGGGGAAGGCAAGGGTTAACTGGGGCGTGGCATCTGAACCACGTTTTGAAGAAGTAAGCAGAGAAGTGGGAAAATGATATTCTAGGCACGAGAAAGCAAATGGAAGACAGAGGTGTGAAAGGACATGGAATGTTCAGGAAAGAGGAAGTAGTTCTGTGAGTGGAGGCTGGGAAGGGAAGCAGAGTTTGGGAGCAGCCAAGGCCTGAGTTAGGCTGGGTGTCTCATGGCACAAAGGAGAGCGGACTGTCTTGTGAGGCGTGAGGACCCAGTCGAAGCCTTTAAATAGAGGATTGATGTGATTAGATGTTTTTAAAAGTTAGATGATTATTTGGAGTGTGATATACAGACGGAGAGAGGAGATTTAACGCTAAAGAGCCACATTGTGACTTTCGTTAGGCCAGGCGGGAGCCAGTGAGGATGGGCGTGAAGGAAGTGAGAGTGGAGGACAGAAGAAGGGGCAGATTTATGAAGGAATTGAACAGCAACCAGAGAATGGATCATCTGTTTTAACCTGAAGCTCTTCATCAAGGGGATAATTATCTGTAAAAAATAGCCATTTCTGCTGCATTTTCAATGGTGTGTTTGTTTGTTTGTTGTTTCTTACAGATGGGTCCCTCTAGACCAGCGGTTCTCAACCTTCCTAATGCCGTGACCCCTTAATACAGTTCCTCATGTTGGGGTGACCCCCAACCATAAAATTATTTTCGTTGCTACTCTATAACTGTCATTTTGCTACTGTTATGAATCGTAATGTAAATACCTTTTTGTTTTCCAATGGTCTTAGGCGACCCCTGTGAAAGGGTCATTCAACCCCTAAAGGGGTCGCGACCCACAGGTTGAGAACCGCTGTTCTAGACTGATTATCCTCATCAACTTTCAATTCCTTGTTTAGAGCCCTTTCATAATTGGGGCTTTTTGAATAGTGATCGTGTCTGTAGAAAACTGCTTTTGAAAGTAAAAAAAAACAGAAAAATAAAGATAGGTCTCTTTACACTGAAATTGCACAAACATTCCTCCCTGGAAGCAGAAACGCAGCCTATGAAACCAGACTTTAAAATCTGACACTCATTTATTTTGCTTGTTACATGTTCTCTCAGGGATTCTTCAATGGCAGAATGGAACAAGTTGTTGGGAAAAACTCCGGAGAATATGCTTCTCTGTAGATTGTCTGCAGGGATCCCCTACCAGCACATTGACTTGTAGATAATTGGTCATTGACTGTTAGTGCTGGAAATTACTTTTTAGGCCACCCCTCCCTCCCGCCTTATTTTTCAAAAATATATAAAAAAGATCCAGAGAGGTTAAGTGAATTGTATAGAAGTTTTTGCAATAATACACTTTTTTTTTTCCCTAAAGTAGAAATAAGCTTGGGAAAGCGACCCAACATCTCTGTTGCCCTGGTCTGGGGGGGGCGGAATAAAAACCACAGTGGCCTTAATGAGGACGCTGAGCTCCCTGGGACATTATGTGCTAGAGCTAGTTCTGCTTGACAGAGCATGGGGGAGGGGTGGCCCTTCCATCACTGTGTGACTAAGGCTAATAAGGGTTTTGACCTTGAAATATCCACCTTGTGTTGTAGGAAGCAATGCAGAACCAGGTGAACGCCAATCCCGACAGAGCCAACCCCGTGACCATGGCTACCCCATTCATCTTCACGTCAGGGGAAGTTGTCAGCCTCGCCAGCCTTGTTTCTTCAGCCAACACCAAGACAACCTCAGGTAATACTCTGATAATGTGGCATTTGTTTTAGACCTAAAATGAACAGAATCCCAGGTTTTCCTATGAGATCAATAGATGTCCTGTCTGATACCTGCTTCTTTATTAAAACATTCCCCAAATAGAAGATGTATAATAGATTTTAAAGCTAATGCACTTATCCTTCCTGAGCGAAAGGAGTATCATACATAGAGAGGTTATACCTGAGTGCTTACAGTGCTAAAAGTAAAATATTCTACAGGTTATTCTGTCGCAGGATTATGCCTGACCCCAAAATGAAAATAATAGGTCTGCTTCAATATGGTGCTGCTAAGGAAAATAGTTAAGTATTCCTAGTCCAAAGCAGCAACAAATAAAGCAGAAGAAACATAAGTGGTTGTTGGAATGCTGTTATTAAAGAAGGACTTATGATTATTTGAAGAAAAGCCTCGATTTGTCATAGAGAATATACATAACAACAGAATAGCAGAGAAAAGCACTCGGGGTTGCTCTGTTGACACCTGTATGTTTTTAACAAAAAGGTCTATCTAAAAAGGAGAAAACTCAAGTTATTTTTAGTATCTCTTTACAAATATTTGTTGTACAACAAAAGAACTTGCGTCCTCGTTTAAATAAGTTTCCAGCTGACTCTTGGTTTCTTTTTCTGTTTCTTTTATTGAAAAATAAGCAACTGTATTCCTCGTTAAGTTTATAGAACATCAAAGGAAGATGTTGAATGAGGTGTTATTATTGAGGGGCAGTGTGGTGAAATAGAAAGAGCGTATATACAGTCTGCATAGAATGGTGCATTCAGAGCTACGTTCAGACACTGATTTATGAATTGACTAAATGCTTGACTGTGGGAAAACTACTTCTCTTAGCCTTCTTTACTTATCTATAAAATTGAGATATAATAATATCTACTTTGATAGGTTGTTGTGAGACTTTGAGATTTTGTATCCGTTTTGTAGCCCGGCTTCAATAACAGCTAGTGTTCAGGGAAAATTAACTTCTCAATAAAGGTGGACTCTGTCATGTCCACAAGGGGGCAGTAGGGACCTTCATTTTATAGGCCAGCAACATTTAAAATCTCTGTGCTTTGCTTTCAGCTGGATGATTCAAAACATTTAGCTTAAATGTATATATACATGTGTAATGACAGCATTCACAGCCTTTTGGGTTTGTTATTGTTCAGGCCACACAGATTAGAACAAGTGCTTTTATGGTCCCAAAGTACTTAGAAGCTAATAATGTTACGTGCTCATAAGAGTTGGTCTCACGACTAAAATTCTCCAGACCCTGATCTGAAATGGTAAGCGAAGTTGAAGACATTCAGGATAGAGATTCCTAGCCGTGGCTCCCATGGGCCTATCTCATGTTTGTTATGTTGCTTTTGGCAAACCTCTTCTTTCTGTCTTCTATATGTTTACGACTACAAATTGAAATTGCTAAGCCACCGCATAATAGAGCCGATCACTCCCATGTCATCTTAACCATGAAGCAGTTCTACCTAGCTCGCTCCATCAGGGGGTTGGCCTACCTGGTGCTTAATCAGTGCAGATAAAAGAAAAGATAAAAGCTGTAAGACAAATTCAGGTCGTGTCATTCAACCGGGTTAAAGGATTTCCTTTTCCAAAATTGTGGTGGGTGGGCTTCTGGTTTCTCATCATCCAGTAGCAGTTTTCAGAATAAACTGGAAGTATCCTAGGATTATCGTGTTGATGGATATTTTTGATTCCAAAATCCAGGTTACAGAGTTTGCTTTCAGTTTTCCATTTGTGACTAAATATATGAGTCATCATCAGGGCTATCATCAAACCGCAGTGATTTGGGAAGACAGGCTAATTTAAACATTAATCAGGATAAAACAAAGTTATGAAGATGAATTTCCTGTTTCTGTAGAATCATAAGAGGCACTCCAAAGTCAAATATAAATAGTTTTGTATTGGTTCATAAGAGGACAGGCTTGGAGTCTAAGGAATTGGGCTCTAACCTGGGCTCTGATATTTACTAGCTGCATGACCTTGGGCAGGGTACTTAGTTTTTCTGGATCTGGTTTTCACTAACTCACCGAGATTGTCTAGCCCACCGTAGCATGCTCCCCTACATCCTAGTCTGAGAGTTGATTTATATAAGCCACGTTTGAATAGGTAACAAGAGTCGTCACTGATAATGCCATCTCCCTTCCAAAAACAACAGTATCCATGCCCATTTTACTTTATTGGTTGTGTTTTATATTGAGAAGCAAACAATTAACATTATTGAACAATAAAGTAATTTTTTTTCCTAGAACTCACTGGGATAAGTCTAAAGAGGTAATTTGCATTGTCTCTTTTCAGTTTCAACTATGTTTGTCAGAATGCCAAACCTGATTTTTCCCAAATGTTCTTCGTTTGCTATTGAGGGGAAGGTGGGTGAGTCACTGTGTTTGAATCAAAGGGAGAACGCCCTTTGGTGGGAATCATCATATGCTAAAAAGTATATAATGCTTTTCTCATGGAGCCGTTCTACTCAGCTGTCCTCCTTTAGCTGATAGCCTACCTGAACTTTCTAACAGCCGTCTGTGTGTGTGTGTGTATGTGTGTGTGTGTGTGTGTGTGTGTGTGTGTGTGTACACTGAGGTAAAATAACAGCTTTGTTTTTCGATTGCTAGTGCCTTATTTTCACATATAGTCTGACCTCCATGAGGATATATAATAGTTTTTTCATTTGTGAGTTCTTATGTCAGCATTTGGTATGATGGACGGAGTAATGAGAAAAGCACGAACTAGGCAGGAAAATTAGGGAGTGGGCTACAGTTGGATCTTGCTCTGCATGAAGTCATTAGACAGACATAGGCTCCTTCCTGGAGGTGAAACACTGTGTTCCACTCAGACCATCTGGTTCCCAGAGTGTTTTATGAGAGAATTCAAATAAAATTGGGTAGCGTCACTATCTCCACCTTCGTCCTCACTCCCACAGTCCTCATCCAAAAGCTTTAATTAAGATAGCTTGCTGCTGTGAGGAGTACTGGTACATAGGTAATCTACCTTTTAAAGGAAAATCTTCTGAAATTTAAATTTATAAATAAGTTAGGTTACCTAGATTAAGCATATCAGAAAACGATCCTTTGCTCTCTGAGAATATTTATTATAAGGAGTGTTAAATAGGAGTTTCCTTAAGTAGTTGAGAGATAACTGACTTTTCCACAGAAGAAAGGCTGCTGAGAATCTTTAAGTGTAGATAGTGGTAAAACTTAAAAATTAAGAGTACATTTAAAAAGAAGATAAGTGTACCAGGAAGAGTTCAGTCAAGGGACAAAACTACATGGTGATTTCTATTATTTTATTAGTTCTTTTTTTTTTTTAAGTTGCAGAAAAAGAGTTTATTACAAGAAAAAATACATTTCAAAGAAACAGAAGCGGGCCCGAACAGTAGAGAATGGCTCAAGGGCCAGTATTAGAAGAGAAAGTACACTCCAAACAGTTTGGAGCGGGCCGAGCAAAGGAAGTGCAAAAGGCCCTGACTGGCCTATAATTTTATTTTATATACAGATACATAATTTCTAAACTTGTATGTCTAATTTATAAAGAATCATTAGTAAGGGTGGATTAACTACTAAGCGGTATGGAGAACCCTCAAGAATAGAGGAATGGCCAACATAGGCAGCAGCCCCTACTCCCATAGGACAAACCTTAAGCTCCTGCCAGCTGACAAGAAATGCGTAGGGAGTCCAGCTGCAGTATCACAAGGCAGGGCAAAGAAGGGTGGATCTGGAGTGGAGAGGCCATAAATCTACCACTGGCATAATACATTTCTCTGAAATGGGGCAATGCAATTCATTTTATGAAAGTTAGATTTATGCACAACTGTTGAGTAATACTTTTGGTTCACAAAGTGAGGCATGATGCCTGCTGCCAGATCTAACGCATTTCCCTCTTGGGACTTAACTGTAAGACTAGCATGCCCATGCACGAGAAAAAGGGAATGAACAAAGTTTTTTCAAAAAGCACATCATGACCTAAGTAAAGTAGATGATTATTGTTTTGTTTTAGCATTAATCCATTGTACTTACCCTTTGACATACAATATGTCAACCTTTTGGGTTTTAACTGCCCTCGCACTATCAGTCCTATTCTTCTCTCCTAGTAGCTGATGAATAGACGTAGTAGATTGAGTAAAGCCCAGGAAGGACCTATTCTGTCACCTCTGCTTAGCTGGGGGAGGCATGCTCTGTATGCTGACTGCCTGCTGCCTGGAGAGCCCTGCACAGCCCCCCCAGGGCGTGGGCTGCATGCTTGTCTGTTAGCTGTGCATGCTCAGCACTGGCCCTGGCCGGGCCCAGAGGAGGAGCACGTGGGCAGGCAGTGGCTCTACACCAAGCATTATTACTCGAATCCACTTTAAAGGGAAAACTTTTTAAATCTCAAAAGAGTTTTAACGCCATGATTACTGGTTTATATCCGTTTGAATTAGAGTGCAAGATCGATCGAGGACATTAGAGTGAAAAGCCGAGGTTTTGATTTAATGAGCCATTTTTAGTTCATCTCAATTTATTCTCTCCACTGGACCTCACTTGCCTTTTTTACCAAAATAGGTGACCCCCATGCCTCCTCAGCAGTGCACTTGTCACATTCCACCACCTCAGTGCTGGCCACCCTTGCAGCTCTTGCTGAGGCATCAGCCCCCCTCTCCAGCTTACACAGAGCCACAGGTAGGTAAGGGATATCTGCTGAGCAATTCGCCATGTCTCCTTTTGTTTTTAAATCTCCAGCAGATTGGATTTGCATGAAGTTAAGGAATTGTGGTTCATTGGAGACGGCTAGGAAAAAGTGATGTAGAGTCACTGAGCATCAGAAAGAAAAATCACTGGCTTGATATAATCAGACAGCTGCATAAGGTCAGAGATGACTTAGTTGTTCCTTTGTGTTTTTGCAGTTTCAGGTTTGTTTGCCCTGATTTCAGCTGCTTCAGATTGAAATATTTAGTCTTATATTAATTAGCAGATATTTTTGGAAATAGTCTGTTATGTTTTGACTGATGCTATCATAGAATGATTCAAAGTAGCAGCCTAGATATCGTGTATTAAAACATCAAAATACACCCTCTCACTGTCATATCCTGTGTACTTCAGGTTGGCATGCTTTATTTTCACCGGAGATGTTGTTTGGGAATTTCCAATGGAATTGATCAGATATCCGCTGTATAGTGAGTGCCCTTCTGATACGTAAAACAAAAAGGTTTTAAGCCACTTAGCCAGAGATGATAGTCTAGGGGGAAAAGGCTGAGGGCTTCATTTATGTAGGGGCACATAATTGGAGGCAGGGCTAAATAGCCATCTAGGAACCTTTCTGGAACCCTCTGGCAGTCTGTTCCATCGTAAAGGAAAGCAGGTTCTGATTTCTTTCTGCCATTGACATTTGGGGAGTGAGAACATTCCTCCAGTCATGTTTTTCCGACTGGCAGCCATCATAAATACCTCTACTCAGACGCGTACAAGTGAGCAGCATGGCAGAGGGAACAGCCCGTATATTAAACCCGTGCTTGTTGTTGTTTTGATTTGCTCTTTGATCTTGCATAAATCACTTCTTCAGGTTTCAGTTTCCACATTTCTGGCATGATGGTTGGATTCGATTATCTATCACAGTCCTTTCAGCTATAACATTTAACCGTTCTGTTTCTAAGAGGTGTGAATGCTCTATTTCTGTTGAACTACATGAATGTGTCTCATACCGATAGTCCATACCCCACTTATTGTGAAGTTGTACTTGTGACTCTTTAGACAGAGGAATTCCGTAGTGGCAGGAACTGTTTCCTCTAATAGTTGTTGGGGATATTGACTAACCAAACCAAAAATCTTGATTCAACATAATACACGTGAATCTCTTAGAAAGAAAGCTGGCTCAGAGTAAGTAGTCAGTGTTAGTTGCTATGACTATTGTTAATCTGTCAAATGGGAGAAGCCACCTACTATTTTTGTCTATCAAACTTCCTCAGTGCTTTGACTACTTGACATGTTATTTTGTTGATTCAGCATTAAATGTCTCTTATTTCCTTATAGAAATAAATCTAATTTATAGTTCTTTTGCTAAGCTCCATAGATTTATTTACACTTTCAAGATGCTTCCTGAAAAAAAAGTTTTAAGATCAAATATGTTGGGGAAACTCAGCCTTGGAGAGTCACTTGGAGAGTGACTGTTGGGGGTCTCTGAGCCTTCCTACAAAACAAATAAACAAAAAAGTTTAAACACATTTTAACCAGGATTTTGAAAATGTATTTGTACGTAGAACTCATCTTTAGTGAAAGGTATTACTATATCAAGACGTTTTAGAAAATACAGTTTTTTTGTTTGTTTTTGTTTATTTGTTTGTTTTTGTTTTTGTTTTGTTTTGTAGAGGGCAGTTTCACTGGCCCTCATATGTGGGATCCGAACCGGGGCCTGGCGTCCCAAGCCAGCTCTTAACCAACGTGCCACTCGGCCGGCCCAGAAAATACTGTTTTAAATCATTCCTTGTTTTCTTTTTTCTCTGACTTAGAATTGTTCACGAGAGCTTGCATTTGTGTGCCGTTGAATCTAACTTTTTTTTTTCCAAGTTTTCCTATCCTGATACTATCAATTTCCAGGAGGCTAAAATTGCTCTATTCCAATTTTTTAAAACGCTGAAATTTTGAATTTACTTTTGTCATCTCTAGCTAATTCAGAGGAGATCATAGAGGGAAATTCAGTTGACTCATCAATCCAGCAAGTGGTGGGGAGTGGAGGCCAGAGGGTCATCACCATAGTGACTGATGGCGTCCCTCTGGGTAACATCCAAACTGCTATACCTACTGGAGGCATTGGCCAGCCATTTATCGTAACCATGCAAGACGGACAGCAAGGTGAGTCGTCCCATTGGACAACTGTTTATTAAAAGATAGTTTAGACACTCGGCTCTCCTCTAATAATGAGGCAGTAAGGGAATGGGAGAATGCCAGGAGCCAGATGGGGCAAAGGAGCTCAGAAAAAGAAACAAATCAGGTTGGAAAAGGCTAATTTTCATAACATATATAAAATTTGGGACTAAAAACCAATAATCCGGAAGAAAGAGCAAATAATGTGAACCAATAGTTCACAGAAAAGAAAACCCTGATGGTTCTTAAAAATATGAAAATATGTTCGGCCTGCTTCATTCATTGCAAGAGATGCAAATAAATACTGCACGGAGGTACCATTGTAACACCGGTTGTCAAGGTGTGGAGAAGCAGGTGCTCTTATAAATCGCCGTTGAGAGTGTGAATTGATGCACCCTCTAAGGAGTACATTGGCAATATCTATCACCATTAAAGATGCACAGACCTTTTGGCTAAAAAGTTCTTTTTCTGTGAATTCATATTCACACACACAGGAATGACATGTGTACTAAGTTATTCATTCCAGCATTATTTATAATCATCAAAGATTAAAGGAACCCAAGTAGATGTCAGTAGGCAACTGGATAAATAAAGTATGGTGCACCCATACAATGAAATACTCTGCCGCTATTAAAAGCAATGAGGAAGTTCCTTATGTACCAGTATGGTCTAATCTCCCAAATTGTCACGTGCTGCGTGGCAAGGGCAGTGGGAAACGAGAGGGGCGACGCAGAGTTAAAGAGCACAAGAGACAGAGATAAGGCTAAAGTGGGGCCAGGGGGCATCAGCCTCATGGACTGAGCTCCTAAATCGGGCTCACGCATGGCTTTTATTGAGAAAATTTCAAGGAAGTGAAACTGGATTACTCAAAGATCCGTATGTCGTGCCTTAAGGCTGTTTTCCATTAACCAGCTCCCATTGTGTTCCAACATGTGCTGTGCCTGCATACATCCATACATCTTCGCACAACCCCCAGGACGGCGTTACTGTACCACGTTCATCCAAATAAGGGAGATGACCGATATCATTCCATCGGGTCTCAGCATTCTGAGACACCCCCTAGAGGAAGCTTTACCAATAGCATTCCATCGGGTCTCAGGGTCTCAGCATTCCGAGACACTTCCTCAGGACCTCATTAGGTCAGGGGTTAGTGGGGGGCGGGGAGGGGGAGTCATGGACGTAGCCGTAAGGCAACACAAAATATATTGTTGAGTGACAAGAGCAAGGTGCAGGCTACTTTTTAAAGGGGGAAATACGTGTACATTTGCTTATGTTTTCCTAGACTTAGACATCTCTGGAAGAATGTTCAAGAATAACATTGTTAGCATTGGTTGCTTGCTAGGAGGGCACCCGGGTAGCTGGGGATGGATGGGAGGCTTTTCACTTGTATGGCTTTTAATTTTTGAATGATGCGGATGTATTACTTATTCAAAAAATACATAAGTAAGTTTTTTTGAAAAGAAGAAACTATTCATTACAATTTCATTCCTTAAAAATGCTGGAGGTTGAAGAGAGGAGGGTTGGTATAATTGTCTTTGTGTTACCAAAATTTTGACTTGGTCTAAATAATTATGGGGAGTTTATAATTTTCAAATTATTTGAATTGATGGATCTTGGCAGTATGGGAAGAAAGAGTAGGAATTAAACCTTTATAATCCAAGCTTTGGTATCATAAATCCTTATTGGGTTTATTTGGAAATATGCCATTGATGTTTTGTGAACATGATTATCATTTAAAGTTTTGGGGGGCTCATTGGGTAGGTGAGAGACTCTGCTTATAACAGAGTTAAGTAAACGAGAACAGAGTTGTCTTGATGGAAAAAAATAAAATTTGAGTTTTTACTTGGATGAACTACACTACTTTTTAAAAATGTGTTTAACCAGGCCCAAAGAAGGAAAGCCGAGATTTTGTGAATTATCTGCAGGAAATTTATAATCCCAGACTAAACTTCCATTTTCACTTAGCATATATCTAAGCTCCTTTTTCCACTGCCATCAATTGATGACTCAAGGAATACAAGCCAATTTTTTAATCAACCATACCAAATAATTAGGTACATCTTCTGTTTTAAACAAAAATCATAATACATCTTAAAACCTAAATATAATTTTTAACATTTTATTTTGAGATAATTATAGATTCATATACAGTTGGAAGAAACAATACAGAGAAATATCATGTACTCATCACCTACATAGCTTCCCCCAGTGGTAACATTTTGCATAGCTAGAGTACAGTATCACAGGCAGGAAATGAACATTGATACAACCCACCAACCTTACTGAGATTTTTCCAGTTTACATGCATTCATTTGTATGTTTGTGTATGTGCTCAGTTCTATGCAATTTAACACGTGTCGATTTGTGTGACCACCACCACAGCTGAGATACAGAACAACTCCATCACAAGGACCCCTCGTGCTACTCATAGCCACAGCCACCTCCCTTCCCACCCCATTCCTAACCCCTGGCAACCACTGACTCACTCATCTGTGCCCTATCTCTATACTTTTGTCATTTTAATAATGTTATGTAAGTGGAATCAGATTGGCTTTCTTCTCTCAGCATAATTCCCTTAAGATCCATCCAAGTTGTTGTTTGCCTCAATAGTTGATTCCTTTTTACTGCTGAGTAGTATTCCATGGTGTGGATGGACCAGTTTGCTTAACCCTTCATCCACTGAAGGACATTTAAGTTGTTTCCAGTTTTGGGCTATCAATGAATGAGGCCGTTGTGACCAGTCATGTACAGGTTTTGTGGGACATCAATTTTCAGTTCTCTGGAATAAATGCCCAAAAGAATTGCTGGGTTGTGTGGTGGGTGCATGTTTAGTTTTGTAAGAAACTTCCAAACTGTTTTCTAGAGTGACTGTACCATTTTCCATTCCCACCAGCAATTGATAAATAAACCAGTTTCTCCACAGCCTCACCAGTATTTGGTGTTATCACTATTTTTTAAATTACTAGCCATTCCACTAGGTGTGTTGTACACCGTGTGTGTTGTATGCTTATGTGTGGTGATCCGTTTTTCATCTATGAGAAGAGATAATTAAATTAGATATAGTTAATGGTAAACTGCTTTCATGAGGGGTTTCTCAAAAATCTTATATACAAACATCAGGCTTTCTTCAGATAAATTATTCCCCCAGAATTGTAAGCTAATTGGTCATAGATTCTGACCCAGAATCGGACATCTTTATGGAAGCCTCACACCCGGGTCTTAGCTGCATGGCTTCCGACCCTGAACCTTTCCCCTTCCCTCCAGGGCCTTCTTAGTGCCTCTCCAGTCCTTTCTGTTTCTCTCTGCAGGGCCATGCTTTTCCTATTAATTCTAAAACCCAAAGGGATGTGAAACATATCAGAAGATATTGCAGTTTAGTTTCTCATTTGAAACAAGCAACACCTCTCTGTTTTACAACGTATTCATCCCCTCCCATTGCTGTCCTTTGGCTTGTAGTTCTAACTGTACCTGCTGGTCAGGTTGCAGAGGAGACTGTCATTGAAGAAGAAGAGGAAGCAGCAGAGAAGGTGCCATTGACTAAGAAACCCAGGATAGAAGAGATGACAGACAGTGTGGAGGAAAGCAAGGTAATGTTCTTAGCGGTGAGGAGAGAAGAGAAGGGAAAGCGCCAAAAGCCGTAACTGCTAAAGCCTGAACCCTTCTTTATCTTTCTGTCTGCTCTGGATAATCTGTGATCAGGAAGTCTTCGCTGGTGGTCACACGGTGTACTTTTGCAGGATGGCACTGAGAGAGAGCTCCTCCAGCAGCAGCTCCAGGAGGCCAATCGAAGAGCCCAGGAGTACCGGCACCAGCTGCTGAAGAAAGAGCGGGAGGCCGAGCAGTACCGCCTCAAGCTGGAGGCCATGGCCCGGCAGCAGCCCAATGGCGTTGACTTCGCCATGGTTGAAGAGGTGGCCGAGGTGGACGCTGTGGTTGTCACCAAGGGGGACCTGGAAGAGAGAGAGAGGGGAGCGACTGGGGCAGGGGGAACCAGTGGGCCGCATACTGGAGTTTCCATGGAAACTGTTCAGTCGTAACACACAAGGGCCACAGTTTGTACTGTGTCCACCAATTTCCTCTTTTTTTTTAGAAGAAAATCCAGAGGACCAACACTGTGTAAAAATTAAGAATGTCCTTAAGGAGAAAACCATAGCAGGGTACAGTGCTTGGGCTCAGGAAGGCTCTCTGTGCAACAGGATCAATCAAAGCCGGATTTAGGGAGCGCTTCTGCCGAGAGGCCCAAAGAGGAAGGACCAGGGTTCTCAGTTGATGTCATTGCTTTACGCGTAGATGTCAAAAGAATGCTGCATGTTGTGTAGGTTGATGGTTTTTTAAATAACTGACTTTCTATCAAAAGATTTTATTTTCTATCAAAAAATTTTTTGAGATAACATTCCTAATACGGACATACCCAGAGCCTTTCATAGTTGTACCTCCAAGTGACCTGAAGATTTGCCTTAGATGTGTGATGTGTGTCTGTTAGAGAAGAAAGTAATTGGGAGGGGGGTTAGGAGCAAATGGGCGGCGGGGAGAAAAAGGAACATATTCCACTTCTAAGGGAGCAGGCGCTCCCCCAGTCCTGAGTTAATCTCACTGGGAAGAAATGTGTGGTTGCCTGACCGCATTTGCGGCCGTTGTGTCCGTAGCTCAGATGGCAGTTGCAGAAACCGAAGTATAATTTTTAAAAACTGGAAGGGAAAGGAAACTTGTTTATGTGGGAGAAGTGTATATAAACCCCAGTCCTCCGGCTGTTTCACAATGCTGGGAAGCGGCCAGAAAGGCCGGTCGCGTTGTGAAACAAGCTGGTGTCAAGATACATGCTTTGCTCCAGCTGGATTTTATCAAGGCGCTATCAGGATGGGAGTCTGTTGGTAGAACAACTGGCTTCCAAACATTTATTTTATGTAGTATCAAGCTTTAATATCAACTCTTTAATTTTATAAAACCTGTTGAGATTTCTAAGTGTGCCTTTCTGGGGATCTTACATGGAATCCTCTTACATGCAATAAAAGAAGGGGGGCGAGAGGGACGCGTGCCGAGGGTGTTGTATAGCCTCGGTGCCATTTGATTCGGGGATGGGAGATTGCTCTGTTTCTTTAAGGGGGCCTTGTGTACAGACGGCGTCTGTGCCTTCCTACCAGGTGCTCGGTAAAGGCAGCCATAAAGTACGGGACCAAAGATTCTGGCCAGATACTTCGCCTGCCTTCCTCCCTTCTCCCCACTATGCCTGCTCCCTTTGCCTAGACACTTTGGGAAAGTGTTTCATTGCTGCAGTTTTCTTTGTGTGCCAGCTTGCCGTTTTTTCTCAAAAGAAAGGGAAATAGGGATGGAGAGAGGGGTCGTGGGGAGGTTATGGCCTGTGCATTGGGCCCTCCTTCCTTCTTGCCGTGCTTCCTCGCTTTGTTGTAAATGAGAAGAAACCAGAGTAGCTGTGCCAGGAAACATTTGAATGACTGTTTAGAATACGTTTTTCTTAATTAGCGATCATGGGGAAAACATACATTTTTAATTCAGAATAAAACTTGACAGTTAACATTGTTCTATTTACCTTGCTTCTGAAGTAATTTGCCGCAGTTTTCCAGACGTGAAAAATCATTTGGGACTCAGAATAGATTGAGACACTAACTCTCCAAGCCAAATTTAACAAACAGAATTGGCTGTTCGAGGCTTGGAGGCAAAAATATCAGCTTGGAAATGAACCTTGACCGCGGGCCTCCATAGCCTAGGTTTTCTCCATGAACTTGCACCGAGCGCCTCCCAGCCGACCAGAGATTGCTCTGGGCTGTTGGGATGACGGAGCAATGCAGTAGGGGAGCTTCGGTGAGGGTGAGCATGACCTAGGAGAGCATCTGCTGTCAAATCGGCCTGTTTCTGTTTGTGTTGCTTTTTGTTCGGAGTCCTTTTGTGTACTAGGTGCTAACAAGAAGCTGCTATTGTGTGCCACTTCAGAGCCTCAGCTTAACCATAGACGGACCAAGTGTCATTTTAGGTGTGCTTTGTTTATGTTCTCGGTATATGTGTTGACTTTAATTCCTTTTTTTTTCTTTTCCTGTTAAGGGGGTGGAGGTCAACACTGCAGAAGGAGATATCCAGGCCCAACCACCTCACTGTCTAGGGGAGCTTCTGATTGAGAGCGGGTGTTTCCATCTAACTCTCCCTTTGGAACATCGAGTCGTACTGTTTGGGGGAGCTGTTTGTCAGTTCTTACTCTCTTTCTGTAGGAGGCTGTCATTCCCACCTAGAAAAACCTCTAATCCAGCCCAAGTCATTTTTTTTTAAAGATTTTTTTTATTGGGGAATTGGGGGGACAGGAACAGTGCTGGGGAATTGGGGGAAGGGGAACAGACAGTTGCTGTCATTTTGTTCTTCAGTCTAGTTGTGGAGGACGTTGCTTCACTGGCCCAAGTTGGCACCATCATTGCACTCTTCCCCGGGCGAGGCAGATCAGTCGCCGGCTTCTGGACAGCCGCTTACTGCAGCTGCTGGCTACATACGGTAGCCCATGGCAACCCACTGCCACAGGGGCTGCAGCCTATGCCATCTCTGGCGACTCATGGAAGTCCAGCTCCAGGTTGAGCTGTTGTTCAGCATCTTAGCTGTGGAGGGCAGTGTCACTGGCGCTCATATGTGGGATCCGAACTGGGGCCCTCTGGCATCCCGAGCCAGTTCTTAACCATCACGCCACTCGGCCGGCCCCCAAGTCATTTTTGATGATGAGTCTCTGAGATTGGGAATTAAAAGGAGAGGTCAGGGTAGGGAGAGAGAGAAGGGAACTGTCTAGAAAGGGGTGGGTAGCAAAAAGGTACTTGTTTTTATTGACTTGAAACAGACCTTGTAGCATCTCAGAGGAGGGACACAGGGTTCGGTCCCCAGCTGTGTTGCCGTGGAGAGATTAGTAAATCAGGATCCCTTGAAGTAGTTAGAAGTGAAATATGGAATGCGTTAATGGCAATACCATTTTACGATTTTGCATTTCTTTCTGGGTCAACCATGGACGTTGGGAAAATGTTGCTCGATCTTCTGGGCTGGGGGATTCTAACTGGGTAATCAGCAAGATTAGATTACAGAGAGCCAAAGAACAGACAAGTGGTCCAGGAGAAACCTGGGGCCCAGGCTGACCGCCGCCTTTAAAATAAAGCTGCTTTAATAATGTCAGTATTATATATATATAGGACTTTTAGGCTCTGCCTTTACATTTTGGTCTTAAGCCTTCCCCCCCAAAAGAGAAAGGAATAAATCTTAATATTTCTGGGCTGGTTCCTGGCTTCAGGGAAATTACGTGTAAGTGTAAGTGTACAGTCTCTTCCTATCACTACCTCTGTGAGATTTCATCATTGTCATGCCAGAGTTGGGGTCTCTTAAGTGAAATATGGGAGAACTTGGTTTTAGGTTGTCTGTGCTTTGAACTCAGTGCCTTAAAAGATGTTGTTTTTCTCTGTCAGATCTGTGTGCAGTTTCTTTTTTTTTTTCTAGCTGAGCCATCCTGCCACTTGTTGGCAGCTCAGCTCGGGCCCATGTGGGAATCGAACCGGTGACCCTGTTGCTCAGAGCTTGCACTCTTGGGTGAGCTCTTAACCAACTGAGCCACTTGGCCAGCCCTTGTGTGCAGTTAGTTTCTTTTGGCTTTGCCTTTCCCCCTTCTTCAGCCTTAGCCTTGCCTTATTACAATTGGTGTGTCTGCTTAGTAATGTCAGAAATATATGGCATACAAAATTTCTTTCTTTGTACTGATGTAAAAGAAATGAGTTCACCAGAGGACTGTCCAGTTGAAATTACATATCGTGTGACCAGGGAAATTTTAATCACCCTTTGCTGGGCGTATATTTGTAAATACATACGGGTTTTCTTACTTTTCTCTTTGTTTATTTGAGGTTCAACTCCAAAGTATCTGGTATCACCTGGAAATATTTTTATTTCATTAAACGCACGAGAGAGGGTGTCTCTGGATTCACTAAAAGGCTGAGGAAGAAGAAGCGTTGCTGTGGCCCTTCTCTGAGAGGTGTGCTCTGACAGGCAGTAATGAGAGAGCGGAGGAATGAGGCCCCAGGGAGACCCGGTCCCTGGATTTGCAGAGGTTTGTGGAGCATATGGCGTGATGACACCATGGAAGCTGAAAGGCTCAGGCAGTGTCGGGTAGAGATGGGGCGGCCCTTCCACAGACCTAGCCTCCTTTCCACGCCCCTGTGGCAGCTGTTTTGACTGCAGCTTGTACAGTCTCTTAGCGCTAGAGGATTTGAGGCAAGGAGTGAACTTCCCAAAAGTTTAATATTGAGTGGGAATCAGGTTTTGTTTCAGTTTATTGGAGAATGGCCTCCTGTTCTCTACTCTTTGTGCAGACATCTCTGTATGGCCAAAAAGGAGCTTAAGAAGGGAATACAGAGGTAGCCGGTTAGCTCAGATGGTTAGAGCACAGGCTGATAACACCAATGTTGCCGGTTCGATTCCCATATGGGCCAGTGAGCTGCGCCCTCCACAACTAGATTGAAACAACTACTTGACTTGGAGCTGATGGGTCCTGGAGAAACACACTGTTCCCCAATAAAATAAAATAAAAAATTAAAAAAAAAAAAAAACATGACAAGACCACCTACATGCGGCTCCAGGCTCCTATCTAGCGCCATTTTCTGTGATGAATGTTTTTGCCTTCTGAGTTAGTACTCTATTTCCTACGCCAATATATTGAGCAAGAACGATATGAATTCGAATTAAGTAGCTTTGAGTCTCTGGTACTGCCCACCCCCCCTCCCCCCAGCCTCTCTAGGATTAGGGGCTGGGATGACATTCCTAGACTCTACAGTAGCAATTTGGCTTGTTAATGGCAGGAAATTGTGATTCCCTATCTCTCTCGTCCCCTTTCCCCTCAGAAATACTTCTGCTTCTGTGACCCCATTGTCTTATCTCATTGAGTCTTTACCAGGAACCACAACTTAATTAGTAGGTCATTTCTAATCTGCAGGCCTTGTCCTTCCTCGGTCCTCTCCCCTCTATCCCTACTACATCTTTCGTTTGTTCTGAACTGGTTTGTTTCTGAGAACTAATGTAGGTCACACCCTGTATCCTGTGTTTCCTAGCTGGTTTCAGACGTCTTTCTCCATCCACAGTAATGATAGCATCTCTCTTCGCTGGCTTGGCCTGCATACTGTCCTTCTGCCAAGACCATTTGTGTTGGGGTGGGGGGTGGGGGAGGGGGAGGATGGGGAGTGAAAGAGTGTGGGTGGGGTGCCTGGATGCTTCTCCGAACGTCCTGTTTTTCAGGTTGTCCGACAGCTTTATGTACAGTATGTTTTAGGAAAACTTAAATACACTTCTCTTTTTTATTTAGGATTTTAATAAAATAGAGTTTGATTCTGATGAGCAAGTTTGTGTGTGTGTGTGTGTGTGTGTGTGTGTGTGCGTGTGCGCATTTGTGTATATACATCTATACAGATCTATATTATATATGCAATTTTTGTACTATCATTTAAAATAAAGATGTTTCTTAATAAAATATCAAAGTCTTAACCATTTTAGGGTATCGTTGACATTTTTTCATCTCCTGGACAGGAATTGTATCTACTCCCTGATCACAGATAAACCTCATGTCTGCTTAACAATGGAGATACATTCTGAGAAATGCACGGTTAGGCCATCTGGTCATCGTGCGAACATCACAGCCTGCACGCACACCCACCTAGATGGTGTCGCCTTCTGCACACCTAGGCTGTGTGGGACAGCCTCCTGCTCCTGGGCTACGAGCCTGCACAGCATGTCACCGTCCTGAATACTGCAGGCAATGGTATTGGTGTATCTAGGCATCTCTAAGCATAGGAAAGGTACCGTGAAAATGCGGTATAAAAACTGGTGCAGCGGTATAGGTGTACCTTCCTGGCACTCGTTACAGTGAATGGAGCTGGCAGGACTGGCCGTTCCTCTGGGGGAGTCACTGAGTGAGCGAGGGGAGTGACTGTGACGGCCTAGGACACAGTGTAACTACTGTAGGCAATAAACTCTACACTGAGGCTCCACTGAGTTTATGAAGCAACAGGAGATGAAATCAGGCTCAAGAGAAAACAATGCAATCAAGAGACGCAGTGAACACGAGGCGGCTGCCAGCGTGCATGGCATACTGTCTACAGCAAACTCTTTGAAGTGGCAAGCGTGCACTCTAAAATAACGATGAAATGAGTATAGTAGAGTAAATACGTAAACCAGTACCATAGTCGTTTATTATCATTTTCGAGTACTGTGGACTGTACATATTGTATGTGCTGTACCTTTATACAACTGGCAGTGCAGTAGGTCCATTTACACCAGCGACACCACAGCATGTGAGGAATGTGTTGCACCATGACATTACCACGAACTACAATGACGTCACTAGGCGATAGGAATTTGTGAACTCCATTACAACCTTAGGTGCTGCAAGACTAGCAAGCTTTCCCTGTCCAACTGAGCTAACGAGCGAGGGCAGAATGGCCGAGGCCATGGTGGGGGGGTTCGTCCTTCTCTCCCCTGCTGGGGTCTCTTCTAACCCATTCATGTGGCCTTTTCCTTATCTAGCTGCTTCTCAGTTGGTAGTCTCAACAGGCAGAGCAAGTTGAGGTAAGAAATGAAGTGAGAATGGAGTTTTGGAATGGAGAGCTTCTTAAATTTATGTCTTCCTTTCCTCAGCCCACACTCCCTCCCTCCCTTGAAAGCAAACAACCGAGAGAATAGCAGCGGAAGAAAATGATTCTGTGCCTTGTATGGGAGTAAAGGCAACACCAAGATACAGGGAGAAAATAATCAGGCCCAGGGAGGCTTGGAAACGGTGGATTTGCTCTGCTGGCCCCTCGGCTATTCTTAATAAGGCTTGTTGCTATCTCTGCCATTCAGCACACGCTTTTTAAGTACAAGTAGCAACCTGTCTGTGGCACCAACCCCACTAGTAGCCAGGGTTGAACACACCCATCTGGCTGGCAAGATGGGCTCCCCACCTAGTGTGTGTATAGTGTTCCCAAAAGCTGCTCCATTGGCAATAAGGATGGATGCCTTCTTAAATAAAGGAGGGTAATACCAAAGTCAAGGATGTATAAACATCTGCGTTCAACAATTAGAATCTCCATTGCAAGCTCTCACAGTTAATATTTAGGAAATTGAACACCTATCATGTACTAGGCTGCATTAGGAAATTGCTTTTTGGTAAATCAAGTACTGTGTACATATTAATTATAAGGTGCGTCTGGTCTGGCAAGTCCCTCTTCAATGTATATACAGTCTCTGCTGAGAGAGAAAGAGGACAGACATCAGCCTTGAGAAGCAAAGAACTAAGAGTCTCGTAAAACCCTAGAGAGAGAAC